CGGCGCGGGCGGGGCTGGAAGCCCGGCGGGGCCAGGTGCGGGAGTCCTCCGGAGGGGCGGGGCCGGGGCCCTGGACCCGCGTGGCCAGAGGCCGGGTTTGGAGGCTGACTTCCTTGAGTGCAGGCGGAAGGCCATAGGGCCGGGCGATCGGAGGACACTTCTGGTGGGTGGGCGCCGGGCAGGGCGGGGAGCGGGGTCCCCGGACTTTTGGTGGGTGGAGGCAGCGAGGGCAGCGATCCCTGTGTCCCCATAGCGGAGACGACTGCGGAAAATCACGCTGGAGTTTAGTACCCCAAGAGCAACAGTTTGCAGAGCTGCCTGGATGTGGCGGCACACCCCTGTAATCCCAGTTATTCGGGAGGCTGAGGCAGGAGGGTCACAATTTCAGGCCATCCTGGGCAATTTAGCAACACCTTGTCTCAAAATAAAAAGGGCTGGAGATGCAGCTCAGGGATAGAGCTCATGCACGGGGCCCTGGGTTCAACGGCTAGGATGGCGGAAAAGAATACCCAGGGCTGGCTGGGCGTGGTTTTCACTCCAACCTGCTGAACCTGTAGCTGCAATCCAGTTCGGCTGATTGCAGGGCAGCCATGCGAGGGCGCTCTGAGCCCGGTTATATCCCCGCCCCCCGCCCCCTCCGACATACAGGCCACGCCCCGGCACTCATGCCACGCCCCAAATCACACACGCAGGCACTCATGCTGCACCCCAGAAGACCGTACCAAATTCTGCTGGCAAACCCTACAGAATTTCAGATTGGAGAATAATAGGAATAGCTAACGCCAGGCATGGTGGCGCATGACTGTAGTCCCAGCACTTGGGAGGCTGAGGCAGGAAGATCTCTGAGAGTTCGACTACATAGTAAGTTCGAGGTTAGACCGTGTCTCATAAAAATAAACAAAAACAAAACAGGAATACAGTACCTAACATTCGTTGGACAGTCGCCCCCTATAAACATTTGCTCACTGACTTTTCAAAACCCCGATGAGGTGTGAGGGCAGGGAGCTTAGATGAACAGCCTGCCCCTCCCTTGCCTCACCCCCACCTGTAGAACACAGGAATCTTGAGCTTATGGAATCCTCCAAGAGCAGATCTTTGCAGCTGGGTGAAAGGGTCGCCCCGAAGCTGCTTGGGTTCCAGATCTCTCAGAGTCTCAGCATCTTCTGCTAGAGAACGAAATAAAAACCGAACAGCTTGGCAAAAGTTCAAAATTGTAGCTTACGCCAAGTGCCCGCGACCATAAACAGGCGAGCTGTACTGGAGAACTTGGCAGCCTCCGCTGGCCCTTTGGCCAAGTTCATTGCCAGCTGCCTCCTTCACGGGGCAGTAAAACGAGGAGAGACGCAACTCTCAGGGCACCGCCCTCACCCCTACTCCGCGCGCCCGCATTTTAATATCTTCTATTTCATTCCGTTCATTCACGGGAAAATCGTGCTTGCAAGCCACTAAATTGATTTCAGAACCCACTAATGGATCTTGGTTGGCAATTTGAAAAATACTGCTCTGAGAAACTCCAGGAGACGTCTTTAAGAATATTAACTGCAGTCTTGTCGGAAATGAAGAAAAGTGAAGGTTAAGTGTCGCCAGGAGAAGAGATGAGTAATTTGTGGCGTGAAACTCTCACTGGGATCCCGCACAGCGCTTGAGATGAATGGAGACAAACACCCGTAGCATGAGACCTAAGACATAATAAGACATTCCCTGGGTGACGTTGTCCTCCACCTCCCATCCGTGTCCACGGGAACCTGTGGAGGAACAGATTTTCTTTCCTTCTTCCTTCCTTTTTTTTTTTTTTTTTTTTTTTTTTGGAGATAAGGTCTCATTATGTAGCCCAGGGTGGCCTCAAACTCACTTTGATCCTCCTGCCTCAGCCTCCCCATTGCTGAGACTACAGGAGTGCACCAACATGCCTTCTTTGGGTTTGCTTTTGTTTGTTTTTTAGAACTAGACATCGAACCTAGGGCCTCACACCTGCTGGGTGAGTGTTCTACCAGTGAGGTGCGCACCCAAACCCCTTTTTATTTTTCGTTTTGAGATAAGGTCTCACTAAGTTGCCCAGGTTGGCCTCGAACTGTTGATCCTCCTGCCTCAGGCTCTGCAGTAGCTGGGACCACAGCCGTGCACCGTCATGCCATCTGGAAACACGGTCTTTGCAGATGTAATCGGGTTAATAAAATGAAGTCATGCTGCATTAGGACGGGCTTGAAATCTAATGTGACAGGGGTTCTCCTTAGAACAAGGGATCTAGGGCACAGATACGGGAGCACGCATGCGCACACACACGGCACCCAGAGAACGGCTGGCAACCATCAAAACCTGGGATGAGCCAAGGAAGGATCCTTCCTTAGAGCCCCAGAGAGAGTGTGGCGCTGTGACACCTTGATTTCGGGCTTCCGCCCTGCAGAACTGTGAGCGAATCCATTTCTGTCATTGTAAGCCACCTTGCTGGTGGCACTTTGTCACAGCAGATTAGAAAACCAATACCATGAATTAAAAAGCCAAGTGCAGGGTGATTAGTGTAGCACAATGTTGTTTATGCCAGATGTAAAAACTTGCAAAACAATGCCGTGTACTACCTGGGGACGACGACGTCCGAGACAATTGTGTAAGAACATGCGCAGTGTGAGAGCATGCGCAGTGATGCCGACTAGTGAACCTAGGGTACAGAGAAGAAAGGAGTTGTACCTGAGCTGATACTGGGCCTCAAAGACCCTGCTGATGCTTTGATTTAAACAACTCAGATCATGTATGGGAAAACATTTTCTTTTTTTGAGACAAGGTCTCACTATGTAGTCTGAACTGGCCTTGAACTCACTTTGTAGCCCAGGCTGGTCTCAAATTTGTAACGATCCTCCTGCCTCAGCCTCCCAAGTGCTGGGATTACAGGCATGCGCCACCACGCCTAGCTGGAGAAATGGTTTATATGGTTGTATATTAGACACCAAAGAAGTGGATGGCAGAAGATGCTCAAAAACCACTGTCAGTCAGGAAAATGAAAATCAAAACTGCTAGGAAATCCCACTTCAGGCTGGCACTGCAGAAGCAGCTGATAAATTTGAAATTTCGGGCTCCATCCCCAGCACTGCAGAACAAAATAGAACACAGCTCCTTTCACATCCACCAAGATGACCACCATAGAAGACAGACACTAGCAAGGTGGCAGAGATGTGGCGCCGCTGGAGTTACACCCTGCCGGGGGGAATGTCACGCGTGGTAGCTGCTTTGAAAAGTAGCTTGGTAGCAGCTCAGCAGTGCCAAAGTTGGAGTTACTGTGGGACTACGGGTGTGTGGTCCTCGGCTGATGAATGGGTACATAAAGAGCGCTACTGCGGTGCTGCAAAATTAATGAATTCTGTACTTAAATAAATAAGTGAATTAACCCTGTGGTGGTACATGTCTGTAAAGGGTGCAGGCCTTTGAGAGGCTGAGGGAGCAGGATTAAAAGTTTGAGCCTACCCTGGGCAATTTAGTGATTTAGTAAGATTCTATCCAAAAAACAAAACATATATATATATATATATATATATATCTGAGGACATAGCTCAGAGCATGGATCCTGAGTTCAATACAAAAATACCACAAAATAAAAAGATAAGTAAAGTGGTATGTTCATGTAATGGAATATTATTCAGCAGTTAAAAGGAATGAAATTCTGATACATGCCTCAGCATGGATGAACTTAGACATCAAAATGCCAGGCCACCGCCTTCTTGCTGTCATAGGGCCTATGTTCTCTTCCTGCCCAGATCAAAGCCCAAGCCAAGGGGAGCTTCCTAAAAGGAAGTAGCCTGGTATTTCTTCTTCTTTTTTGGTACCAGGAATGGAACTCACGACCTTGCCCTTGCCAGGCAGGTGCTGTACCACTGAGCTATATCCCCAGCCCATTCTTCTTTTACCTTTAAATAAATGTTAAACTTTTATGGTTAAAAAAAAGAAATCATGATGCCAAGTGAAAGAAGCCAGTTTGCAAGCGCAAGGTCATGAGTTCGGTTCCCGGTACCGGAGAAAAACCAAAAAAAAAAAGAAAGAAGCCAGTCCTAGAATACCACATACAGTGTGATTGCATTTCTGTGAAACAGCCAGAATAAGTCAATTCATAGAGACACAACGTGTAGTGAAATAGCGGTGGGGAGGGAGGGGAGGTGTGTGGGGAAACAGGAACGGACTACTTGTGGGTTTCTTTTAGCCATGAAAAAAATCTTTTAAAATTGATTCTACTTCGAGTGGTGATGTAGACCTGTAGTTCCAGTAATCTGGAGGCTAAGGCGGGAGGATTGATGTCAGTTCAAGGCCAACCCGAATGACATAGTGAGACCCTATCTCGAAAAGCCTAATAAGGCCGGGCATGGTGGTGCAGGCTTGTAATCCTAGCACTCGGGAGGCTGAGGCAGGATTGCTGTGAGTTCGAGGCCGACCTGGGCTCCACAGTGAGTGCAGGACCAGCCTGAACTACATAGGCAGACCCTGTCTCAAAAACAAGACAACAAAACACCCAGTAAATTAAATAAAATTATTCTGATCATTTCAGAATTCTGTGAGTGCACTGAAAGTATGGAATTGTACATTCTAAAAAAGCCGGGCGCACGCCCGTAATCCCAACATTTGGGAGGCTGAGGCAGGAGGATTGCTACGAGTTCGAGGCCAGTCTGGGCTATAAAGTGAATTCGAGGCCAGCCTGAACTGCATCGTGAAACGCTGTCTCAAAAAGACAAAAAAAAGGGAATTGTACATTTTAGGTAAATTGTGTGGTAATATACAGACGGTGTAACCCGAT